AAGATTGACAGAGGAAGACAGACAGACAGAGAGAGAGAGAGAGAGAGAGAGAGAGAGATAGACAGAGAGAGAGACGGTTGTTAGTGATCAAAGCGTTCAGTGATATTACTCAGTGATATTACTATAAAGAAATAATTCCTATAAATGGGTGTGTTTTTCAGGCTGATAGTGTGTCCTTTCTCAAAAGGTCTTTTTTTTATTATTCTTTTGTTTTCATTTTTTTTTTTAATGTAATTGTCAGAGAAATTACTTTTGCTTTTAGTTTTTGTTTTGTTTCTTTTATTGCTGGTAGCATGAATGAGCAAGTTAACAATGGCCTAGCCGGAGGGAGTGCATGTGTTTATATGCTTAGCAACTGGCAACTTTTGTTTAGTTAAACAGACTGCTTCATGGCTTTAACAGTCACGTATGTTTTCACACGCGCACTCACGGAGAGCTGCATCTAGGCGCAACTGTGGTTGGTAACTTTTTGTGGTTTCTTCATTGGACATGCGACTGGTCTCCTGCTACTGCACTGAGTGTTGATTACACTCTCTATTAAAATGTCGAGATATTCACAACATTTATTTATTACATGCTTCATGAAATAAACAAACAAATAAACAAGTATTGATTCATTCATTCATTTGTTTGAAAATCGCACATTTTAAATAATAATTCAATATTGTGTTTATTGCATTGGATATTATTGGACAATATTGGATTGGATTTAAATATTGGATTTATATGGTATTTAATGTATAATATAAATGTTAATTATATTAAATATTATATAAACGTTAAGCATATCAAGTATTTAAAGCTAAAAGTCATTTGTACCAACATGTAATGTTACTATACAATAAAACCAAACGTGCAAACTTACATATATTTATCATTTTGTTGTCTTTGAGAAAGCAAGAAACCTTTGACGAAATACTTCTCAAAAATAAATAAATTCATTAATAATAATAATAATAATAATAATAATAATAATAATAATAATAATAAATCCATGTTCCTTTCCTCAATCCTCAATCTACTATGCAGACTTGCAGACTTCGTAAAATATGATGTAACTGAAGTAAAAAAAAAAAATAAAAATCCCCACCATTGGCTAAATATTGAATCAATTCTAGCTTTCAATATTCATAATGTTGGCATTTGATCTATTAAAGCAGGAAGAAGAAAACCAAAGGGTTAAGACCTGTTGCTGCAATCGGCCCCTGCTGTGTGTCTGCCTTACTATTATATTACACATATTAAGACAAATGAGTATATCTCAAAGGCTCAGTAGGGGATCTGGGTTCACTCTATTGTTCACTGTCTGAATTAAGCTAAAATTCAATATTTTTTATAGTGCTCAGATCGTATAAGAAACAAGAAGCACACATTTTAGCATGTGGATGCAGCTGCTGCGTGATTTACGAGTTGTGAAGATTTGTGAAGGTATAGGCTCAACACATAACTACACTAGATGTACATAGTGTGTGATATATTGGGTCACAAATGACATTCTCTTTCATGTCTTTTTCACCCTCGCACGCATACACACACACAGACACACAGACACACACACACACACAGCAGATAGCAGTCATTGATCGAGCTGAGCAACAGCAGAATCGCTGCTTTCACCCTCCACCCGATATCTGCAGATCATCACTTGTTCCCTCTTTCCCTCCCTCTCGCCTCCCTCCATCCAACAGCCACCAGCAATCTGTCCTCAGATTTAATGCACTCCCTAAATGCAGCCGCCAGATCAATAAACAATTATTTCTCCCTGCCCGTCTCTCCATCTCTCCCCCCTATCTCTCTCTTTCTCTCTCTCTCTCTCTCTCTCTCTCTTTCTCCCAGTGGAAATGCTAACTCTCACTTCATCACTTCGTCAATAAATACCTGATCTGTTTGTTTCCATCACGGAGTGTGTTGAAATAATATCGGATGTGAATCCTGAACCCGGGCCAAAAAAAACAAAATCCCTAAAAAACAGATGCATGTGGCAAAGTTAGCTAATTGCCAATTCATATTTAACTGCTGTCAAATGAGCCATTATTTAAATTTTTTTTTTTTTGTTCATTTTGAAGGTTAATGGACCGGCTTGTGAGAGCTTAATCACATACTGGCTTTCAAATCTCGTTTACTTTGAATTACAAGATCATCATTTAATCCACCATGAATTTTAGCAGGGCGCACAAACCAAGGCATAAACACCCATCAGCACTTGTTCATGGTGCACTCCAGTGACATAAAATCTAATGTTCTTTCTGCTGAAAGTGGGGGAAAAAAACATCTGAAGTGGAGGCAAATGTTATTTTTTTCTTTTGTTTTTTTTCCTCTCTTGCTCTCTCTATGAGTTATTTCGAGAGGGACTTGAATGCAAGCATAATTGCTTTGATAGCACCCTCAGCTTTGCATTCAAAGTCCCACTTCTGTCTGATAGGGACAAAAAAAACTCTCTCCAGGGGTTCTTGACATGTATTACAACCATCACGCATTACAAACATAATTACGTCTGTCTAAAGCATCTTCCACCCAGGGAGTAAACAATTCATGAGATATTCTTGAGTGTGTGATTATCCTGTTAATTTTTGAATGACGATCATATATTTGCCAAGCTTTTTTTTTTTTTTTTTTTTTTTTAGGAAGAATTTCATAGCTTTTGTTACATCAGTTTTGAGATTTTAATATAAACCTGACAAAAAAAGATGGCATTTTAATATTGCAAAGTGTACGTGTCTATCACAGATACTGATTTTGTTGGATTTCATCTTAGTCTCATACTAAGCTTAACTTTTTTTACTTCTCATACTACTTTCTGTAGTATTGCAATAACGATTAAACAGTAATAACAAGTTATTCAGTAATAATAACATGATTATTTGGGAAATTATTACCAAAACTGCCAACCTTCACGTTTTGCATAGGAGCTCCGCATTTTAACATCGTTAAAATAGTACACTGCTATCGAGTTATCACTCAGATGTACACCAAAAGAACGATCTTCTTTTTTTCCCCTAATTAAAACGGCAAATGATCCAATCAAAATATAAATCTGGAATGATTGACAGCTTGCACAGGTGTTCTGATCACTCCAATATTAACTTACACCCATGGAAGTCCCGCCCCCTTCCCCCATCTTGAACGAAGTGTTAAATGAAGACAAACAATGTTTTAATGCATTTTACAAATGTGCAATTATGAGAAACTATGGCAATACTTCTCCTACTAATCTATTTTTATGTCACAGACAGTCGTAAAAAGCATTTCACTGCACGTCGTACTGTGCATGGTTGTGTGTGTGTGAGACCAACAGAATTTGAATTTGAATAATCCAGAGAGTATCGTATGAGTCACTCTCATAAAGACTCTTATGAATTCCTCTCCCACCCTACAGTCAAAGAGCTCAGCTTCCACTTGCTAATCCTATCCTTTAGTCAACAGGAAAAGGTGGATTCCACCTGCACGCAAACCCCACACACTACACACGACTACTCCTCACCGAGTTTAGCCTAGAAGAGCCTGTAGGGAGAGAAAACAGCAGCAGGACTAAAAATAAATATGTGCTTTCCCAGGTAACCCGCCCTCGGGTTTATTCCATCGGTGTCGGAGACTTAGTGCAGATTTGAGACAGGAATCAGAACTTTGATCAGATTGGGCTCTATTCCCTGGTTAGCCATTAGCGCTGCCAGCGCTGACCTTGCCAGAACAATCCTTCAGGCTGCGGGAGGACTGATCTAAGTCTGCAGGAGAGGCAGAACGAGCCGAGCGCCGCTAAAAGAGCTATTAGACATCATATCGGATCTCAGATTATCAGATTAACTTTAATGAATCTGTTCAGTCTTCACTGAACACAAACTGTGTGTCACTGGCAGGTATCTGTGAGCGAGGGTAGAGCATGTAAGCCAGAGATTAAGACTCGCTGCGGTACGGGACGGCGTGCTGGAAAGAGAAGGAATTCTAATAAGCTAAAGTGATTTTGTTTTATAGTGCATTTTTTGTATACACAAAAAGCTGCTCTAATTCTAATTGCTATGCTAATTTGACATTTTATTATAAAGTACACCTCTTAACCAGAGAAAGTTTGGAGAAAGTGAGGAATAAAACACAAAGGGGTGTGCTGTTATAGGAAAATAATCAACGACATAGCAAACTGAATCATAATGAGTTACCATCCCTGCATTGATTATTTTCCTACAACAGCACACCCCAAAGTGTTTTAAAGTGTTTATTCTTTTATCACAGCAATTTGCCAATGATTACAATTTTGAATGTATAAATAAATTATTTATTGTGGTTTTAACGTGTTCATTGTCGCATTTTAATACTGTGGAATGTCCATGAAATATACGTGAAATAAGTTATTTATCACTTACATTATAGAAGCTATAAATAGTCATTCCTTCACTAGCCTTTCTTTATTTTTACGTTAATAAAACAAAAAAATGCAGTTTGTCATGAGATACATGAAAGCTCAAAGATCTCCAAAAACATATGGAGTGTTACAAAGCGCTAAAACTGGAGACTCCTTCCATGTTAAATAAATGTCTCTTCACCACATTTACAATTATAAGTTATTCTTTAAAAAATAATAATAATAATCTTTTTTTTCCTTAATTGCAAGCCTTAGATTGTCAGGAGCGCTCGCCATACAAACCCCTGCAATGAGTTGGCAGAGTTATAGAAAATTAATCAACACCTTCTGACAGTAAGGTCTGAGAACTCAACAGCTCTGTGGTATTATAACAGTTAATTCCGTTTATTAGGTACACTGATCTAGGAACAAATAGAAATCCAATTAAGAAATTAACAACATTTGGTATTATTGATTCCTGTTACAAAAACAGTTAAAAAATCCACATTGTAAAAAATTGACAGTAAATGATTGTAAAACATATTTACAGTAAAGTACTATAAATATTTTACATAGTATAAAATCACACATAATCCAGCACATTAGCTCATTCGGCTGACGCAGGATACAACTGAGCTGAAGGTCAAGGACCCAACACTGGCAATTTGGCAGTGCTGGGATTTGAACACATAACCTTCTGATCTGTAACTCAAAATCAAAATCTTAACCACTGAACCAGCACAACTAGCTCAAGTAGCTCACCCTGATTCAATTCAGCTTTTAGTTGAGTTGATTCAGTGGTAAAAGTGGAGGAATCCATAAAGGCTACATGAAGTAGTTGGGGTGGTACAGTGCTTAAGGCTTTGGGTTAGGGGTCATAAGGTCATGTGTTTAAATCCCAGCATTGCCATGGTCAGGTCCTTGAGCAAAACCCTTAACCTTCAGCTCAGGTGTATCAAGCAAATGTGCTGAATTATGTGTAATTTTATACTAAGTAAGAAATGACTGTATTTTACTGCAAATATGTTTTACGCTTGTTTACTGTAAATTACAGCATGCCTATATAATAGGATGAGTTCATTTTAAATAATTAAACATAAAAAGTGCTAAATATGAAAGGACACCTACTGGGCATTTATTGTCTGTGCATTGTTGCACTATTGTTGTGTAACATAAAAGTGGAAGAGACCTTCAAACTCCAGCCTGAACTGATGGCTGGCTAAGTGGAAGAGTAAACAGAGGCAGTGAGTTCAGCGTGACCTGGTCCTTGGCTTTGTCTGAACAGGAGTGGAGAAGAGAAAGCAAACAAGTGAAAAAAAAAGGAAAGGGTTTTTCTTTAATTATAATCCTTTCCGCTATTGTACTCTCTGCATGCCCTGTTTGCCCGTTTCTGTAATCTAGTTTTACCTGCGGGTCTAGTCCAGGACACGCCTAGAAATAGTAAAGCTAGATGAAACAAAAGCCTCTGAGCGGGCAAGGCTAACACTGAGAGAGAGAGAGAGAGAGAGATGCTAAAATGTGCCAAAGGAAAATTCCTCTAAAAATGATGTTTTCTCCTTCTACCTCTAATTCATATGTTGGAACTGGCACCAAGGGTACTACACAGCACCACTTCTTATACCTTTATTTCAGACCTACTGCATGGTGCAGAACTTCAGAAATCACTACAGCTCCCCAGGTTTGTGTAAAATGAGTAGAGAATGATGAGACGAAGCTACTGTACGCCACAGGATTTTACAGCTAAGCCTCGTCTTTATCAACAGTTGAGCCAGGTCTATGATATCAACTTACAACTTACAACTTACAACTTACAACTTGGGGGCAGTCGTGGCCTAATGGTTAGAGAGTCAGACTTGTAACCCGAAGGTGAACCTGAAGGTCGTGGGTTCGAGTCTCAGGTCCGGCAGGGATTGTAGGTGGGGGGAGTGAATTAATAGCGCTCTCTTCCACTCTCAATACCATGACTGAGGTGAGACCCTTGAGCAAGGCACTGACCCCCCAACTGCTCCCCGGGTGACACAGCAAAAAAAGGCTGCCCACTGCTCCGGGTGTGTGTTCACTACTGTGTGTGCACTTGGATGGGTTAAATGCAGAGCACAAATTCCGAGTATGGGTCACCATACTTGGCTACACGTCACTTCACTTCACAAAATGAATCAAATTAGATTGAATATACAAAAGACATTTGTTTTCTGCGATCCACATATATATATATATATATATATATATATATATATATATATAATTATAATTTAAACTGTCTTTCCCTACTAGATACTAGTAAATTCAGAATGACTTTTTGTAGGGGTTTTTTACATTTTTTAGCATCTTTCATCAACATTTATACCACAACGCAGCTGAATTCTCGGATCTGATTGGTCAGAAGGTGTGTAACTGCACCGCTTGGACAATAGTTCTGGCTGTAACATGACTGATAGGTTTATATTAATGCACTCCTTTTAATATGTTATTGTTTCCATAGTAACAGCACATACACAGGGATTTGACAGACACTCCACATAATCTAAAGTCTAATAATAAACAGATTTTTTTAAATCTGTTGTTTAACAAAGAAAAAACGTATAATCGTTGATGTGAATTCTTTGTTAGGAAAAGTTTATGTAAAGTGTCAGTGCTTTGGAACAGTCATGGTGCTTAGGAAAGTTTTCAAGAGAGGAGTTTATACTTTCCAGTTTCTCGGTAACATGAAAAGCTGGGTTTTTTATTTTCTCTGAATTACCATCAAAAGAGAGAGAGAGAGACAGAGCGAGAGAGAGAGAGAAGGAGATGCTATTTATCGTTGTTATAATGTAAGTAGTAACAGGAACTAACTTGTCTCGTGGATGGTCCACAACATTAAATCTAACTATTAAAAGTTCAATATGTCTTTCTTTAACAAATTACACATTGCAATTGTTGGCAAATATCTATGGTTTAAGCAGAATATCACACTTTAGACCTCACTATCTATCCACCTTTCCCCTGCTTCACTCTGAGAAATGAACAGATGTAATATAAAGCGTAACAAATAATAAAAATGAACAGTATTTTACAGTAATTATGTTCAGGATTACTAGAAAATTACAGGCAGGTAAGTTAGGAGGCTGGAGCTAAACTCTGCAGATTTGAAGACCCCTGTGATAGATCATGCTTCACTCTTCCCAATATAAACTGTAGTAACATTTTAGACATAATAATGAGATTCAGACTATTAACGGTACGGACGGTTGCCGCCATTACCATGTCATTACTGTAACAAACGAAAGTGGATCAGAGAGCAAAAATAAATCTGATTTGGTGAACTGTAATCTGACACTAAAAAGCAGAGTTAAGAAATGAATCAGGTTTACCCTGCAGTCACTCCGTCTCTCTCAGACTACAGAGCTTCTCTGTTCCCCAAAACGTCTTCAGCCACCAGTTTTCCCAAAGCAGTTTAAATATTTCTCCCTGGACATTATGGCGGTTAAGTAGGTGCTGAAAGACTTCTGCATGGCACTTAAACAATCATTGGCTTCTCATGTGCCGAAGACTCCTGCACCACGCTCTGAGCTCCATCTCATTATTATTATTAGTATTTTTAATTTATTTATTTTTTGGTGTGAGGTCCCACAGAAAAGCTGCAACTTTCCCCCTCTACACATCACACATACCATCATGCTGTCCCGTCCATTTAAAAAAGCAACTTCCTTTGTTTGCTATAGTATTAAATGGACGATATTTCCTATCAGGATTGTTGTTGAAAAAAAAAAAACCTTACAAAAACATGTAACAGCCTTCAGGAAGAAAACTAGAGTCATGATACATTGAGACGCTGCCCTGATAATATCACCGCTATCTAAATTAGACCATTAACATAGAGGAAAAAAAAATAAGTGCAAATAAAAGATGCCAAAAAATACTAAACGGAAAGATATGCATTCCATCAGTTGTGCCTTCGAGCAGATTTCTGACAATCATTTACATATGTTTACACTGCAGTGACGGAGAAGGCAGTTTGTTCCTGTTTGTACGGGTTTGCGATCGGCCTCGGCTGACCTCGCTGGAACAACTGCATTTCCAAGTGTCTGATCCTCTGCGGATGAGATTAGACAGTTCATTAAACAACTAACACACTATAGAGTCTCAGCACATTAAGCCAGCATGACACAGAGTCCTCTTAGCTTTCTAGCAGCAGCATTCATACAACATGCAAAGGAGGACACTGTTGTATTTTATTTATATATATATATATATATATATATTTGATTAGCATTCGGAGAAGCGACAGCATATCATAAAATTCTTCCCCTTTTTTTATTTTTATAATCTGGTTCAGGCTGGTTCTTCTGTTCCGAACAGGTCAAAGACTCCTCATGCATCCAGTGGGGATGCTTGACAAGTGTGTGTATGTGTGTGTGGAGGAGTGTGAAAGAGAGAGAGAGAGAGAGATGGGACTGTGTGTACATATGTGTATTTGAACAGGGAGCTTGGAACTGCAAATGTATGTATGCACATTTGCATGTATGTGTACAGGGAAACAGGAAATGGGGTAAAATATAGGAAGTTATGTGTGTACGTGTGGGTACAAATCTGAAATGGGGTAAAATATAGGAAGTTATGTGTGTACGTGTGGGTACAAATCTGTTATGTGTGTACGTGTGGGTACAAATCTGAAATGGGGTAAAATATAGGAAGTTATGTGTGTACGTGTGGGTACAAATCTGTTATGTGTGTACGTTTGGGTACGTGTGGGTACAAATAAATTCACAATATGAATGTTTTTCTACTGCACATTTAGAAACAAGAACTAACAAAACTTTCAGTTCTAATATAGGTGTATTAATATTATTAGCTATGCAGTCGGGAGCTGCTTGCTGGCAGAGGCAAGCATTGTAACTCAGCTGAATGCCACCATTTTAGGTTGATTTTTAACTCATTCTGAAAATGGTCTCTTTCAAAATTTCTCTTTTGGTCAAAAGGAACCATTTTTGGCTGAAATACTCTGGTTGCATCCCTAATAAATATAGTTAACTGATGTTAAATATATACTTGTCTAATGTTATCTAAGTCAAACATACATTGACCGATTTTATTTCATATTAATGAACTCAAAAAATCTCCATTTACCTTAACAGAAAGCAAGGACGCCCTGACTGCATGTGAGATTGAAAACATTTTGGTAGTTTATGCAGTAAATATAGCCCTGTGTGTGTAAGAGGCGGCATACGTGTGTGAATTCATACCGCAGTGCAGTGAAGTGCTGTGTAAACGATGCGATGGCTGGTAAACTGGTGCTTCAGTCTGCCTCCAGCAGACTCACGTTAGCAAGGTGTATTAGCACGCCTCACTGAACGCATTTGACTTCCTGCAACCTTCTCTCTTCTCTTTCTCACACACACACACATACAGTACGACATCCCTCTCTACCTCCTCCTCCGTCTTCTTATGTCCTGCTCTCTCATTCGCTTTCTTTCATCCTGGCACAGGCTGGAAGAAGCCTGGAGACTTGGCAGTGAGACATGCAGGTGCTGTTCCAAATCATTCTCCAAGGCTTCCTTCCCTCCCTCGCTCTTTCCTTTCGTCTCTCTCTCTCTCTCTCTCTCTCTCTCTCTCTGTTTCCCTCTTTCTCCATCTCTAGTCTGGCAGCAGCATCAATCACACACTGTCGCACAGGGACTGGCGGGACAGAAACAGCACCAGTGACATTCGAACCAAGCTGTCAGCTGGCCTCAGCTCAATGCCTGGTTTAAGCTGTGTGACGCGCCT